TATGGGGTTTATCCGTCTGCGATTCCTCACATGAAAGTGTGTAATAAAAAAAAACCCGTTGATCTTCTAATCACCGCCTGCCTCGGTAAATGGCGCACACTGATTAACCCTATTTGCTGGCAGGCGCAATATATGTACACAAGCACTCGCTCGAGTGTGGTACCGCAAAATTCCAAGCTCTTATTCTCCCCTCATTCGTTTGTNCCAGTCCCGGCGTCATACAGGAGAATGTTGGACCACTGCGACATTCACTCGTCTCTTTGTGGACAAACGTATGTTGCGACGGAGTCCGAGGTATTTCAAGTTGGCAAACGTGGTGAACTCCCTTGGAAAAGAGCCTTATATTCTAATTCAGCCTGTGCTATTGACACAAGCGGATTGCTGACACACTAAAGGAATGGTGGCGCTAGATGACAGCAATTACTAAGTCGAATGGTAGTCTAGTACTCTATGGTCCATTTTGATCAGCCTACCAGCTAAACTGGAACACCACGTTTCAGTCCGTCGGAAGTTGTTGGAAATTGGCATTAAACACGATCAATTGGTGATTACTGAGAACTAAAGAAATCGATTGCCGTTTAATGTTCGCTGGGAGAAGAATGCATGGTGGCTTAGATAAACTTGCGATACAGTCAGTTTTCCAACTTGCGCGCTGAAGTCACCTATCAACACAATTATATTGGTGCTTCGGCTTGACCGGATGTTTTCGTGAAACTCGGATTTTTATGCGTCAAAATTGTGTTCAGTGGGATATAATGAACCAATCCTTTTTGGTGTTACTTTCCTTCCTAACAGGACTAAAATACCTATGGCGACGACGTGACGTTTCACTAAAGTTGAAAAGTCGCATGTACTGCGCCACTGTACAATTAGTTCTGCTTCACGGCTGTGAGACCTTGAATTTGCGAATAGAACACATCCATCGCCTAGTGGTCTTTAACCATCAATGCTTACGTAGTCCGGTTTAGGTGGGATGAAGTGCGCAGACTAGTAACCTAGAAGTAGGTCGTCAGGTGTCGTCAGGGAATGCGTCAAGGAAGAAATCTCCACCGCATCGAGTTCATCTCAGTACGCTAGTGCTAGTCCGCACGAAAGTTAGACTTCATCTAAGAACTTGAAGGCAGACCGTTCCCGCAAAATACCTAGATGTGGTTTCGCTGGAGAACAGCGAGAAATGCTAGGCACTGATGAACGTGATAATTGCACAGCTATCGAACGATCCCCTGAGTACGTCAGGAAACAGAGTTCGGTTGAAATTCAGTGAATCAGGATGAAGTCCTCAATTCAACAAGCTACCCTACACGAACTAGATACTGAGTCACATCGTCTGAATGACTTGATATCTGGCCACACCATTCGGTTAGCTAATGCGACTCCTAGCTCAATCCTCGGCTTATCGCAATCTCAAACGACAAGCAACGCGATCAGACAAAAATTGGAGACAAGCCAACCTGGACAACATGTCTCCTCCCTTCCGACCTATTCTACCAGAAATAAGAAATAAGTCACCCAGTCTGTGTTGCGCAGCGCCTCCGGCGAGCTCATTGCTGATGCGCAAGGAAAAATGTCTCGGTGGGCGGAACAATTCAGTCTGCTTCTCAATCGCCCTCAAATCCAAGTTCCGTTTGCATCCTCCTCGCCATCTTCGCCATACGAAGCTAAATGCGCTCCGCCATCAGTAGAGAGAGTCTCAGATATCATCAGCCATCTCAAGTCATGGAAATCTCCCGGTGGGGATGGAATATTCGCCGAAATCTACACAAAGTTTTCTCCAGCCATTTAAAACCCTCTCCATAGCTCACTATGTGCAATCTGGGAAACCGAAATTTGACTAGACCACATCGATTTTACTACCATTCCCTTAAAGGGGTGACAAATCAGTGTGCGAAAACTACATAGGTATCAGTTTACTTGATGTGGTGGCCAACTTTGGCTGAACCGCTTTGCTGCAACAAGGCAGTGTGCACCCGTCCTAACCAGAAAGGATTCCGTCCAGGTGTGAGCTGCGTTGACTAAATATTCACTTTACACCGAGTCTTGAAACATCACAAGCTTCAACAACCCACAACAGTCTTCTTCATTGATTTTCGTGCGGCGTTCGACTCCGTAGATCGTGAATCCTTCTGAAACATAGTTCTGGCCGATGATGCCCCAGTTAAACTTGCAAACTTAATGGGATCCTATTCCAACGCTAGTGCTCGAATCCGCATCTACGGCGAGGAGTCATGCGCGTTCGAGTTAGGATCTGAAGTGCGACAGGGGTGCCCATTGTCCCCAATGCCCTTGTCGTTGGCTGACTAATGGGTCGTTCGATGAAAGGATACCACGGAGTTCAGATCTCTGCGAATCTGCGGCTCACTGACTTGGAATTCTCTGATGATACTGTGGTCTTCAATGAGGACGTCCAACCTCCGAATAATCTTTGACCGCATCAGTCGACAGACCTCTGAGATCGGTCTAGAGGTGAACACATCAGAAACCAAAATTCGACAGTCCCGATTCATCCCGATTTGATCTTACCGCAGACCGCCGAGCATGGGCAGCGGCAATTCGGGATATCCATGAAGCCGGCTTATTCTCTCCCAGAAGCCAGTCACTGTAAAGTCAAGTAAGTAAGTAGGTTCCGTTGTTTAGGATGCGCTTTGATTTTCCAACGGTTGCCTACCGCAACGCGCCTTATTTGTACTGACCGATGCAGGCTGGAGAAAGCCACGCTTAAGACAGCAGATGACGTGGAGACGAGACATGGCAAAATACATAGAGGTATTAGGTAGAGAAAAGTGTCTCTCGTCCTCCGGGTTGGGTTCTAAAAGACTTCGTAACTAGAGGGTTAGATACATTGCAGGTCATGACAGCAAAACTGACAGCAGTGATGATCATGCTGTCATCTATCAGACCAGAATGCTTGAAATCTTGTGTATACTCGACTGTACTGTGTACTCTGTGTATTGACCATAGCCATTCTGTTTCCTTGCCCGTCCCTAACATAAGGGTCAGTTTCGATCCTCCCTACTCATTCTCACTTACCCTGAACATAGGATACTCTAAAGAGGCCGAAAGCTCTTCGAGTCAGACGTGCTACTCCTCCCGAGTACCTTATACACCGCTATTGTGGGTGATGCATCACCGATGAAGTGTCTTATTTTTTTTTGTATTTTTATAACTTTGTAAGCTGATATGCTTACATTTCAGTGTCGACATTTACAGAAGGCTGGATTGACATTTGTCGTGAAATCCAGTTTTCTGTAAAGGGTCACCTTTATCCTGCAGNAGGTGCTGCTGTATGGTACAGAGACTTGGTCATTGCGAAAATACGATGAAAATAGACTGTTGGTGTCCAACGACGGCTGTCTACGCCTTATTGCACGGGCTTGGTGGGAAACCAGACAAACAATGGTGAGGTTAGACGCAGACTTGTAGGTGGTCGCGGACGTCCACAGGAGCAAGTAGTCGACCTGCATAGACTACGCTGGTTAGGACACGTGCTGCATATGTCACGGAATATATTTTCAAGTTGCGCGATGTTTGCTGAGGCAGGTAGTGGATGGAAAAAGATTGAAGGTGGTCAAACAAAGACCTAGTGTGAGGGTATGAAAACTCTAACCAGGAGAATCGGTCATATGGGTCGTCTTCGTTCTCTGGATGGCGTTCCCGGTGGTTAGAAATATTGATCGATATGGCTGAATGTCGCAAACGGTGGNGTGGTGCTCATGCATCTACTCAATATTCCTGAAACCTCAGTCTATAAGAATTCGCTGTCTTTCCCTTTAATTTGCTCTCAACATTCCAATGCTACTTCTCTTCATTTATCCAAATGGGCTTCTAAGGGAGGGCGACCAAAACTACCCTAAAAATGTGCATAGTGATGGTTGTGAAAACTGAACTGAAATAATTTGAACTGCAATTCGATTGGTTGACCCTCCCACAACGCTATTTGGCAAACAGCTTTGGCGAGTGATGCACAAGATGTCTTAGGGAACCCAAGGAGAGGCAAAGTTCGAGGGTTAGGGATCGAAAAAAAGAATTAGGCAATGTTTGTGGTAAAATACCCGATGCACAAACAACCTGGGACTTAGATGCATGACCACCGGGTTACAGTTTCACTCAAAAACATTCCACCCTACCTATGGACTAGCAAGCAACACAAAATTCGGACAAGACAAACGTAAAATTAAACCAAGTGACAACGAAGTTGTTTCTGACATCCGTGTGTTCAATCAGTCACTGTCAATAACTAACTGATTATTCACGGTTTATTTTCATTTCCGTATATTTGCACATTAGCTGTTGAAAACGTAGTATAAGTATGCTTAAATGTTTTAATAGCGAGTGTCGTGATTAGGATTGCTGTGTTTCAGTAACATGTTTTACACCTAAAATGTATCTTAATCATCTATGGGCTTTTCTCTCGGAACACCTATTCGAACCGAATCGTCAGCTTCAATAGATCTCTCCATCAAGAGAAATTAAATGCAACCAGAAACAGTGTGAATTTGTTTGTTCCCAAAATGTCAATTGTTTCCCTCCCTTTATGGTACTTCGTCCATTTTCAGCTTTCAGCACTCCATTCTTTTTCTTTTACAGTTCTTATACTGCATTAGTGTTCTGTTTCTAATTGGTGGATGAAAAATCTATGCTATGGCAAAGATGCGCCTCGACATCCCTATATGCGTGCTAATTGAATTCTGTTCTTACTCATTCTGCTAGTCTAGGTGCACTACCCTGTGTAAATTTATATAGGAAGATTTAATTAACTGTATCAGTCATCATCGGGTCCCAGTTTTGCATCACTTGCCCATGTAACCGTTTGCCATAGTAGTGTGGTGGAGATTCGGTACGAGAGACGTACTGAGGGTCACATTGCTTTGTTGTTCTATGCTGCCCCTCTATCCTTTACACAGCCAAGCGTGGCCTACAAGTCATAAGGGGTTTTTGAGGCGATGCACTTTGAATCATGTAATCTCTCACCATGGGACCAAGGGTGTGATCTCATCCGTTCAATCTATCGGAATTGTGTCACATGCCTGGATAAAGCTGCGGGCAAGCTACCCTCACTTGGTTTAACTAGTCTGTTTGACGGTTACCACTATATGGTCGTTACCACATATTGTCAACCCAATAGATCTACAAGTGAGTGTTGGATCACTTGTGTGGATCAAAAGAAAGGAAATGTCCTAAAAGAACAATAAAGTTTTATAAGCCAAACTTGCTGCCACTGGTAAACACTGGTTAAAAAACCGATTGGCCGTTATTCTCTCTCCGAAAATCATTATAATTTTTTTCCATCAAAATGAATACCTTCGGGTTACCAAAGAATATATTTTTTAATTTTTTATTACAAACTTTCGTGTGATGAACCGCAGACGGGGTAAACCCCATAGTCACGAGGACCTGCTGTTCAGTGATGGAAACCGGTAACCTAATCCCCTGGACTTGGAGTGGTGAACCACATAAGGCCCGACAGTTTAGGCGAGGAAGTTGCCCTCGGTGCAATCTGACTCGACTATGGACTTTCTAACCAATAAAGAGATAGTCCTCACGAACACATTATATATATTTCACACTTGTCTGAAGACAGACTGTGTGCCAGGCAAATCATGGTACAATAATCTTTATAAAAAAAGAAACTCTCCATGATTGGCTTGTGGGCTGAATACCGCCGGGTTGCCCAGGCCAGAGCAGGTGAATTATCTTGAGGAATTCACAAACACAAATTCACGAACACAGACCAGTATCTAGCATTCTTTACGATTTACATCATTCTCTAAAGTTCAACCACTTTTCGGGTCTTTTCAGTACTGATTAGATTGCCCTATTGGATTCCCGGTGTTACGTATTTTTCTTAAATTTCCACTGATATTGTTTAAAAAAGCGACCAAATAGTGTCGAACGTTTATTTACCATCCCTATCGCTTATGTTTCTTTCCTCCACGGCCCAATAATTCAGATTCAACGGGACGAGAATCGTCAGCTCATGTTCTAGACGTCAGCCAAAGGTTTCCCTGTGCAGACGACCTGTTCCCAACGCTGTGCAACCCGGACATTCAAAAAGAGTCTTGGATAAACAAGAATCAGGGGTAAGTTTTTTTCAGCTACCTGAACTAAAATGAATCAGTCGTTTACCTTTGCCCTAATTAGAATCTCAGACCGTCTGATAGTGTAGTAGATTAGTATGAACAATCCTCTGTCTGTCTAAACTGTCCCATAGAGCACATTTCAAATCGAATGAGTGACGAACAAGCTCGTTTTCAGTGATTCGTAGTCATGCCAAATACATCACAATAAATATTACGCTGTATATATATAAATCAGTATTCAACCATAAAAACGCAAACAAATGTTTTGGGAAAGGGAAAATAACCATGAGTTATCTGGGGCTAATTTCGTCTTGGGACCGGCTGTGGAACTATCAGTGGTCACATAGTAACTGAAAACGAGCTTGTTCGCCATTACTTGTTCTATTTGAAATCCTCTATTTGTCAGTGCTTTTCGCATATATGATTCTGAAAATGTGGTTGTGATGTGTCGACAAGTTTTTCATACGGGTAAAATCAACTGTGATCACATTTCAGTGGGACATGTACAAACTCACGCACATCATTTCATTTCTGCCATTTGCAAATTTTACTCTGGGGAGAAACCACGAAACCTTGTAATAACACAGCATTCCTCTTCCGTCTGGTGATCGCACAAGTCTNGGATTAACTAGTTAGTGCTCAACTTTGTGATGTTCGATGATGTTCCCTGGTCGGATCACATTAATTCATGTGCTTGTTTTTATCTGATGTTGATAAATACGCTCATCAAATGCGAATCAACTGATTTCTTCATATCTTATCACTGTCAAAATAACGCGCAAGTGAGCTTCTGTTTATACAGGGGATATATATTTCCGAATCTTATGGATTCAATGCGCCCAGTATACGATGCATTTTCCCAACCATTGAGAATAATGGGCATGTATATATAACCGGCATGCAGTCCTGAATAACTCACAAGGTCGACTTGATTTTAGCAACAACATTGGTCCAAAGCCCAAGCACGGAGGTGATAGTCAGCAGAAACTGGGACTAAGCTCAATCTTGACCCAGTGAAAAGCACAAGGAGATGAGGAACAAGACGTGCGAGCAAACGCGTGTATTTATTGAGGTGAACAGACGGAGGGGTTTAATGGTGGATTTATACTCCAGGAGCGTAGAAGCGGATGCGGGGTTTGTGCGAATAACTCAGCTAAATTGAAAACTGAAAGACCATTAGCGGCTTGGATAATCCGATTGTCTTTTCCAGCGGTGTGATCACTCAATCAAAAAATTAAATTTGACAGTAATAACCTTGGTTTGATCCGGTTACATGCTATGATTAAATTTTTACTGTTTGTATGTACATATGAATAGGGGGAGGAAGAAGTTCTGTTCCACTTAAATTTAAAGTTCAGGATGCGATTTGTCACCCCAATTTTTATGTTTACAAATATCAAATCACTTCTTTGCTCTTTGTCTCTCATACCATTTTGTGTGATCAGTTTCGTACCGCATTGCTTTCATTGTAGTCCGTGCGAAATCAGGAAAAGCATTCCGTGTTCTACACTTTGTCCCGACACGAGGCCGTGGTGGTCGAATATGTTCCGGACTCCACAATGGATATGTTTCAGGTAAGACGTCATTCGTGCGTGCGTGTTGTTAAGATCATGACTGTCCGATCAGATTTCATCTTGAATAACTGTTATCACCCTACTATTTTAATCAGTAATTCAATGGTTGGGAAACCAGTCAGATCCAGTTTGAAAATGTGTATTTCTGACTTGTTAATACCAATATTTACGTCGTTCGTTTGGTTTCGGTGACTCTTTTTTGCAGTTCGTATGCCTTTCGGATAGGGTAATACAAATCCCGAACACCCAGTGTTGTTTGAGGAAACCAGTTACCGGGTCTTTTTTCCTGTTTCATTTTTATTGAATATATAATCATACAATATTCAAGAAAGAGGAAGCGGCTAATCAAAGAGCTGTTAAACAACACATAATGGGGAAAGCCTGACGGTGGTGGTGGGATTCGAACACACTTCCTCGGGTGTGATAATTTCGTGATCTTTCCCACCAACATCACCCACGGTCGATGGGATATGGGAGAACTCAAGTGTTGGTTCATAACTGCACAATTTGTAAGTTGTTGCCTAACCAGTGAAAAATCAGCCCCATTTCTTAAGCACGTCTATGTCCATTGACGACCGTTCATTTTATACTTGCTTTCGAAATTCCGGGCAAAGTTACCCGAACAGGTGTCTGCGAACAGCGAGGTGCATTTTTTAGTCAACTGGGTAATTTATAACCACGCGCTTCTAATTTATAACTCTTCATAGGTATGACAAGCCGGACTATGCGATTTGGTTTTACTTTGGGTTTCACAATCCCACAGACTACGTCCCTATTACCGATAACTTTTCACGCAATATACTTAGTGACAGCCCTGTTTACCGAACAGTTGCATTTTATCCCCTTTACTTGTCACATTCCTAATACGAATTGATACTTGACTGAGACCTTACGAACTCTGATTTCGGTGGATGATATCATGATCCCCATTGAACTTATGAGTGATAGCTTCCATTTTTTATGCGAACAGTACGTTGCCCCTGCTAATCGAATACGGAAATGATCATACTGTAGCAATGCCTTCGAAAGCCTCATTATGGTCTGGATGGGTTGTGGCTGGTCCCTCTCTCTCCCTGCAACTCGCAAAATGTTCTCTTACGATCAAGCCTCTCAAATAGCCTCTGGTGAGGTAGTCCTACTCACTGCCTTCCCTTGGCGAGGGTGTTTTCCGTTGTCATCTTCGTCAAGTAAATTTGGCCTAACTGATGCTCGATGAAACGATTTGAGGTGTCTCTTCCCGTCGCTCATCGAACGGTTTTTCAATGGTGCCATGACTATAAGGAAGGTCAGTTTATTTGATAAAACTCTAGCTACGGTTTGTGCCAGCTGTCATTTCGCACTTCACTCTGTTGACCCCTGTTTACAAATAACTCTGAATTCCTTCTCACCGTCGAGGACGAGCCGGGCCCGTGGTTTTTTAGGATCACCGGAAAATGGGCGTTGGATTTCTGTACAAGTCATTGCGCTTTTCTTAGAAATCGTTAATGTGTAAGGCCAATCGGACAACAAAGATGAAATATTGTAATTTGGAACAAAATATTGAAAAAGTCGTTTTCCTTTGATCCTTTTGAATAAGACAAGGAACTCGGTAGAATTGATATTAGCCATCAATTTCGTTTGCTGTCCACTTACGTTAAACAGATTGGATCGTTACAAAAATGCAGTGTGTTCACATTTACATAATTACAGTCGGTCTGGTGAAAACTGTGACAGTCGGGTCATCACCCAAGACATTAAGCACTGGGCGAACGAATACACGTGCATAATTACAAAGGGTCGTATTAAAACCTGTGAGCGTAAAATAGTTACACGATGAAAAGTGATTAACAGATAGGAGAAAAGTTCATATATGCAAAGTCGGAACTAATTAAAACGGCAATCAAGTAGGTAAACAAAGTCACGTAATATAGAAATGAGAAAGATAGATTGCTAGTATTGGTTTAGGGGTATGATTCCGCCCTCCCCTTTCTTTACGATTGCTCAACTCCAAATGTGATTAATTACGCAACTACGACACATTTTTCACTTGACCAACCGTAATTCTGTAAGTGTACGTATTCTTCTGGTAACCACCGAGCCTATTTACTATACCTGGGCAGCTGATTTTGAGCATGCGAAGTTGATGCCCACTGTTTATTCTGGCCATGCTGTGTTACTTTTTTATTCAAATGTAATAGAGTAGGTGGTTTATCTTGAATGACTCCTGATCGATGATCATTCAATTCCACAGTTTGCCCACGTCAGTATAAGCTTTCGAGTTGAAATGCCATTCAGAAATCACATGATCCTCCCGGGTGTTTAAGCGGTAGTAGCTTTATCAAACAACTCACCGCAGTTTAAACAATCGGGGTTTTTTTCTATCCCACTCCACGCATTCGCTCGTCAACATCTGCGCGGGATACATTTTTTTCTTGAGCATCGTGTTAACACATCCATGAATACCTAAATCTCTTCACTTAAACTGCTCATTATTAGTGATCTTGTTTTCTAAGTCGCCGGAAATTCCCAACGTATGTAGGTTTAAACCCACCCAACGCTACCTATCTGGTAGTCTCTGTGATTCGACTCAACTGTACGCCTTACCCCTTCACCACTCTGATGTCCGGATTTGCTTACCAGTTCCCGATTTTCGAACACGTTTGTTGGAAATTCATATGCTAGCATGTGTCTTCGATTACAATTTACGAGGGGACGGGTATTTCTCTCATTGAAGCCTTTCGTTCTCAATGCAGTGGTTTGGTATGAATTAAGTTAATTCACTTTCGATCCTCTGTTTGAATCAGTTTCGCGGACTCAAAAATCGCATTGCATCGATGACTCAGCATTTTTATCATTCACTAACCGTGCTCTGTGCCTAGTCATGAATTTGGTCAGGTAGGCGAGCAAAGAAACTGTCGTATCACTCGAGGAAAATAAAATGCGTAATGAGGTAGCTTTTCCCTCATAAACCAAGCTCATTTTATATTCCCTGTCTGCTTTTGAACGGTTAGTTATACGCCTTATCTGTCACATCAGCTCTCATGAACATAACACAGATTTGGTAACGATCAGTGAAGTTCACTTCACTTTATTCCTCTGTACGACGACGACGATGATGATGAACAGAGATATACTCGTAAGTCCTAGGATAAACAAAGACTATCTGTAGACACCATTCTCCACTTAGCATCCGTTTGGGTCTAGTGAAATGGTCAGACGAGCAATGCAGAGCTAAATTTATCGAGTAATCATGCATCGACGCAAGTACGCCACCATCGCAGATTGTAATTACTGGGGCATGTGCCACTTTTATTGCATGTCACATTAAAAAGATATCCATATCAGCCCTCCAAGTACGCAGTATACCTACTGTATTGTAGTATTTAGGTCGGAGCTTACCACGTTCACTCTACTTTCTCATTTCCTTTTTGACAGCCTTCAATCGACTGTCACCCTATTCCGGAATATTATTCGCAAGTTTTCCTGCATTAAAAAAAACGAAAGTATAAATATCGTTCCTATCAATATTGCCAATGCCTGTGTGTACATGAATGTGTAATGAATTTAATGCAATTTCGTGAAAATGCGTTGCTTTTTGATCATGAACTGCATTCGATCGTATGTACTGCAAATATCCTGATTATTTCGTTTTCTCATGTCGAAAAAGCTATTTCCTTCACTTAGACTAGTTCAGCGACAACCCAATTCAAAATGAAATCATTAGAATGTGAAAGAATGCGATCAGTTCTCCGTTGTGAAAGTTATCAGAGTGCCATTATTTTGGGATGATAGATGAATCGTTGAATAAGGTGCTATGCTCTCTTCCTTTGTAACTGTGCACAGTCTCCCATTTTTTCTTTTCCTCATCTCTCCTTCCTCAGATTGGCCGAAGCACAAACGCTAACATTGACTTTGTCGTTTCTGAACCTCAAAGTACTCAGTGCTCACCACAACGCACGCCCGCTTGTGGTAAACTCACATCGCCTAATGCTTCGGTCGGTTCACCACACAGTCATGCTACTAGACTACCACCCGGTGCACCGAAGAGTTCCGCGCACACACACCACCGTGCGGCACCCGTGAGTGCTGTGNTGGGGTGAGTACTAGTTTGCAATTATTCATCATATGCTTTCTACCGAGTGATTTGATTCCACATAGCCTTCGTCGTGGTCCATGGTGCGTTCGAACCTTTATTTTTATTTTTCTGGTTCATATTACTTTTCCGTTCTCTGACCAGATACAGTAATAGGGGACCGCCTAATCCGTTCCGATGAAGGAATTGATCGTTGATTATCCAGGTAGAAGATTCTATCAATCCATTTGTTAACTCAGTACTCCACACCGAGATGGCTGGAGTAAATTGGTCATTTTTGATATCTTATAAAGCCGCTTCCTTGCCAAAAGTTGCTTCTCTTGGTGCACTTCCCAAAGCCAGCCCCCTTCGTCTATGCCGTCCTCTCGAATTTCCATATGATGCTGTCCGCGTAT